TTGCTCGTCGAAGCCCTGTTCAAACATAGGAAGGAACGGACCGGTGGCGGGACTAAATGCGAGATAGACCTCCCCACTGCGTCTTTGATAAACCACCACCTCCGAGAGTCCACGCGCTTGGACCCCTCTCTGGCGGATGAGAGAAAAGCTGCTGCGCGCATGGTTGCGGAGAATCTGTATGTGCTGCCTAGCACCTCCGACGAGAATGCCAACAAGGACGTGATCCGAACCAGGCTCGAAAGGGATCGGCGGCGGCTGGCCCAGCTGAAACTGCCAAGCTGCCCAGGAAGAGTGAGCAGTGACACAAGTTGTTTCGTTCCTTTTGAACATTTACAAGAGACAAGGCCTGCCTCGGTTGCTCAAAGTGGCGCTTTCTGATTATCCGAGAAAATCTCTGTTGCGCTTCAGGTTGATTAATGCTTCGTCAGTAGTTGCTTAGAGCGGCCTATGAAGCGCCCTGTTTACGTAGACCTCATAAAAATTTACGTTTCGCTTTTCCTTCAAGCCGTTTGCTTCCATCAATCACGAGAACAGCACGAAGTCACGACCTTTCAAGGGCTATACGTTTGTAACTTTGTAACTTCCAGCAATGTCAGTGTGGGAGCCTGCATCGTTGATTGTACCTCGAAAGTTTGCCTCATTGCCTCTTTTATGAGCAGCTTGCAACGATTCCTACAAGCTAGGCGTTCACCCTCGTACATTCAAAGCCATTGTCGTGAAGCTCATGCTGCGATTCTGACCTGCTCGACTTAGGTATTGACTCGTCATCCTCCTCCTTTTACACAGGACATCCTCGAGTACCACATGGCGGTGTTTGCGGACCAGCGAGATGGCTCCGAGCTTGCAGGAGCCGAGGGACAAAATACCCTTCAGATCCTCAAGATTCGGACCTTGCAAGCCAAGGCTGTCGTCCTCCATGTGATCAACAAGGTCGACGTCTTAGACGGCTGTAGGCGTTTGAAAGAAGAGTTGTTACGCATCGAGCGAGCACCAGGTTGGCTGAGCGGAGAGAGGTTGGTCGTGCAGAACGTGATCAGTTTGCAGCAAGACGTTAAGCGATTAGCCAAGAAGTTGAAAGGTCTACCGCTGGATGTCGAGCAGGGAAGAGAAGTCAAGGCTTTAGAAAAGAGGGTGGGGTCCTCGCTCTTGGGTGCGCTACAAGAGGCAATGACGATTGTGTTAGGGAAAGGGGTACTTGAACGACTGAGGCTGATGGACGTTATGGGGCCTTGAATGGAGGGTGAGACGTAATTTCATACTGTACAATATTACCGCTTTTGTGTAAGCTTGTTGCAGTCAGCCACAGGCCCACATGTTTACGAAGGGCCCCATTCCGACTCATGTATGTACGCGTCCAGAAAGAGAAATAGTTTTTCTTCCAATGGACGTATATTGATCGTTGACTTGATTCTGAACGCATGGCCACAACGTACTAAACGTTCATGCGTGGTGACCAATATCCAAGTTCATGCATGCATTATATGTGTATACGTGCCTGGCTCAAAACTGTTGTTTAAATTGTTGATCGAATGCAAACGTTGGCCTTAAAGCTGATTGGTTGCTCAATCTGCGATCGCCATGTAGTCTCGCGGCCGGCCCGGCTCAGGCCGCGCAACTGGTGTATATGTGCTAGAACTTGCATGTACGCTATAACATGCCAGTGCACTGCAATCACATGTGTATACGTGTTGATTCACTTGCATGCATGTGTCTGACTTATTCGTCCTAGACAGAATCATTCTTGCTATCTTGGGGACCGCAAGTGGTGAGCCTGAATGTTTTTGGCTGCGGCTCCTATTCGTAATGATTCCCTATAGTGCATGTGCAAATTTTGCATGGCGGTGTTGACATGACTTGGCCAGGCCGGACGTACCAGCGCTATACCGGTAACTTTAAGTGACATGCGTTCGATAATTATATGTAAAGCTCTAACTGTCTATATATAGCTCAGGCTCAAACCGATTAAACAAATTGCCCTCAAAATCTGCATTCGAACCTGATATGCGCATATGATCCGGCCGCGGTCGGACGCGGGAAAGAAAATCTTCAACTTAGCAATTGAACTAGGTTTAGAAATAGTCAGGTAACCAGCCTGGGACGGGTAGTATTAGTTTGGGGGTTTGGGCCGGTGTGGAGCAAGTGGTCTGTGTGTTGGGTTTTAGAGTTAGTGCAAGAGCTCATGCTATTGCTAGAGCTTAATTGCTAAATTGAAGAACAGGACGGGAGGCCTACCATACGGTAGTCCAATATGGTTCAATGTAACTGGGCCTCAAACTTAGTTCGACAAACAAGGTCAATGACGTGAAGTGAAGCTTCATAAACGAACCTTTTGCATTCAATTGAGCGATCTCTGATCTCGGCTGTTGTCTCACAAAGTCAAGATAGATTCTTCTCGACATTGTCGATGAAACCCACAATTGATGTAGATAAGCAATTTTCATGCCTACAATTGTACGTCAACTTTAATTTTCTGCGACAACTTAATCAGTATTCAACTTCTTCTATTCTTACCCATGGCATCTCCCTGATTAGTTCCTTGAGCAAAGCATTGAAAGCATTCGCGCATATGCTTTTCCTAGCCCCCGCCGCCGAATATTGCAACAACCGCAACTTTGGGCTCATCTTGACCAATTGCATGCAGAAGTTAGCTTCCTTCTTACTTCGTACATGGACCTCTAGATTGACAAGGTGTTCAAGAGGTGGAACTTGAAAACTTTGGCCTTCCCCATCATCAAAG